AAAAAAAAAAAAAAAAAAGGGAATATTACTCCCTTTCCCACTCCCATCTTCCCAATCCCACCTAATACAAGTAATCCTTTCCACTCAGCAAACCTGTTTGAAAAAGCCATTCTGCTGGCAACTTACAGAAATAGAGACTAATAATAGTCATACCCTATTAGGAAGGAGTAGTTATTTATAATAAATCATTTCCCAAAGAATTGTCTAAATACAGCTCCTTACCAATTGGGACGTATTGCCTCCCTCCCAGGAACTTCATTAATCAGTACTTAACCAGTATATCTGTACTTTATTAGAATACAATATAGAAAGTTACACTGTCTTACACTCAACAGATGCTCAATACTTGTTAAATAAAAGAATAAATGAATAAGCTTTGTGAAACACATTTTTCAGTTTAGAGATTAACTCAGTTATAAGTATGATAAATCATCTTTCTGTCTCTTCCCTGAATCTACTGTCTAAATCCTATCATACCTAAATCACACATTCTGTTTCCAAAAGGTCTGTGGAATAAAGATACTCTATGGCCAGAAGGACTAACACAATGCTCTTTCTCAAACACACTGCTAATAGCACCAAACTAGTAACAGCAGGGGTTAAAGGAAAGAGAATCCACAGCAATTAAATTAGGCCCCAAAATGACAACTATATTAGGCAAAATGATAACTATGAGTTGCATGAAGTTGCTCTCTATTATCTTCTGGCTCAATAACTTAGAGCTAGAGATTTTTTCCCTTAATTTTTTAAGCCCCTAAGGTTTCTTAATTTAAGTGCTTGATTGCAACTACGCACTATTTATGAATCATTATAAATACACCACTACCCAAATTCTTTCGGCACAAACAATTATGAAGGCATGATGGCTCTATCAACAAGAGGAAAATAGGAAGGGAAGCCAGTGACTGCACTCATTACTGCTAGGAGAACACTGGTACTGAATGGCACAAGCAACTCCAGTATGAGAGACTAATAAGCACATGACTGGGAAGGTGACAGAGGATACCAAGAAAAGAAGGGCATCTATAAAGAACCCCAACTCTATGGGGGCAGGAGGTGGAGGAATGGGCAGGGATCCACTGAAATCTACTCTAAAAGCCTTCACAATACTCAAACAAAAACAGGCTACCAGACTCCAGGTTTTGAGCCAGTTCAAATCCTAGCTCTAACACTCAAAACTGAGAGACCTTCAGCAAGTTATTTAGCTATAAAATTATAATAGCAGTCACCACTTAATGAACACCAACTCTGAGCTAGGCACCATACACATGGTATGTCCTTTCATTCCCACACCTAATCTACCAAATAGGGATTATTCTCATTTTGCAGAAAATAAAAATCCATGTTCCTTCTACCCATGTATGACTGCTTCCCAGAGGGATAATGCTACCTATGTGGCAGGGTTGTAGTGGGAATTAGAAGTAAATGCAAAGTACTTAGCACAGGAACTAGCACCTGCCACATCATAAAAACTCAGGAAGTCATTATTGTATAAGTGCAGCTATCACTTGAATAAATGACTCAATTGAACAGCAATAACATCCCACGAACAAGTTTTCCCTCATACTTTCTACCATAAAAATGACTTTAATTAGCAATACTTTTGGAGAACCAAAGGTGTACGCACGTACAGCTTCTTAGTTGAGGATCAAAACATAAAATCCAAAGAAATAAAAAAGTCCATTATCAAGGTGATATTTCACTAAATCTGAACACTAAATATTAAATATTTTACTTTCAAAAGCATTATAGATCTCATACCTCAAGGGAGCAGGAGCTAATGAACAAATCTAACTTCCCCAAAAATAATTCCCAGAAGCATCTGTTATCCTGAAGTACTCAGCAAACCATTTCCCAGAATTAAGAACATATTGCTAAAATCTTAGTGAATTTTGCCAAAAACATTCTGCTGAGAGGAAAAAGAATCATTCTGATTTTAGAAGCAAATGCTACTTTCCAGCTTAGCCACAAAATAGATCTTTTCTTCATTATTACTTTTATCAGTATGTTAATACTGAAAATAAACAGAAAAACATCACAAATATACTTCCATTTGAAGGAAATTTAAAATATTAAATGCAAAACATTTGCTTTAATCTTAATGAGCTCAATAAAATCCATGAGAATTTTTTAAACCAATAATAAAAATCAAATTTCCAAAGCCTTATTAATAATTGAAACAGACAGAAGAGTAGAGTAAAAACAACAGTCGTATGCCAGAGCCCTCCTCAAAGTTAAGAGAGTCTTACAACCTCAATTTCAAAGTTTAAACTTTTGTTATTAAAAGCAACACTTCAGAAAGACTGACCAGACACAAAGACGAAATCCCTCCATCCACTTGTAGTTTTGCCACAAGGACAGTACTTACCAGACAGCAGCACGTTCAAACTCCAGCAATCCCAAGGGCATTTGTGGGGCAAGGGATCCAGGAATGAGGAGGGCCAAGGGAAGAGCCTGAGTTGTGGGGAGGGAAGGGTACAGGAGGGAGGAGACAACTGCAGCTAGCAACAATGGGAAACTGTGAATCTAAACCACAAAGGCTTCCTGCAGAACAGGACAACAGGGAAAGGGCAATTCTTTTTTACCACCTACCAGTAACTCAGAACTGACAATTCATGATAAAGCTAAAAAGATGGGGCCTCCAATTAAATGTAAACAAAGTAAACTTAAGAAAGTAACCAAAAGTAACTTGAAAGGACATATCACAAACTTCATAGAGGCTTAAGAAAAACAATTAGGAGGCTGTTTTCTCTAGGGGCATTCCTGATGACAAAGGTCAGCAATGTAACAATGAAGTCTGCAGAGTAGCAGCTGCTTCCAAACGGAGGGCCAGCTCTAAAAAACAGTCCTTTGCACTACACTCAAAAGGAGCACTAGAAGACACATTCATAGTACTTTAGAGAATAACCAAAACAACGCCATTGTTTGAATCCTTAACTCAGAATTCCAAGACTGTCTGGACTTAAATTATATCACTTTAATAGGCAAAACACCTCCTTAAACAAGACACACTCTTCAAGAAAGTTATTGTGTGAACTGAGCTTTTGAATTCAAGAATCAATTCTAAAATACTTGGTATCTCAAAGGTTCCCGAAACCAAAGGCAAGGACAGTGAAAGATCTCCACCCCTCTCTCAGGGAAGAAGCCAAGTTATATCACCAAGAACAAACAGCAGGCAGAGTCCTGACTCCAAACATGTGATCAGTCAAGCCAGAACTGACATTTGCAAGCAGGGCATAAAGGCCCCAGAGGATCAACACACACCCTTCTATGTATTACACCCAGTTATAAAACAACTTTATTGAAAGGAGTTGTTTTATAAGCATACTGATTTTAAAAACTCATCAGCAGAAACCCTGCCAAATATGAAGGTCTGTTGTATTTCTACAGGTTGTGAGAGAAAATATGAGATTTAATTAAGATTTATTGGTAAAATTGAACAGATTCAGGCACTGCCCAAAACTAATTAAGCTCTTACATTTTAACAATATACTAAAGTACTCCTTTCACAACAGTAAGAGTGCCCAAATTAAAAAAAAAAAAACAAAGATACTACTGCTTTTCTTTTGCTAACCATTAGCATTCTAACTCAGGTCTCCTAGTGGTAGATGGAGGTGGAGATGTCATTCAGAACGGTGAAAAACAGGATTTCTATTGATCAGTGCTAAATGCAAAAAAAGAATGTACAAATATCAAGGTCAAGCTCTCTAATCAAGTCTTTCAGTGATGGTTATACATTTGTTATAGGGCTAATCAAATAAAACTAGAGTAATTGGGGAAGAGTTACCAATCTTCAACCCTGGCTACAATGTAACTACATAAATGACTTTTCATATATTAGCCAGGTAAGGGAGGTGATCCACAGGAAAATCTCATCCTAACAGGTTGTAATCTCTTTTGAAGCCCCTCAGAAAATACTTCATGTAAAACACTTCTATATAATCATATTCCACCTTGTATATAGCTGTTTCTCGGACCAGCCGGGCTTGAACTCACAACTGTGAGACTGAGACCTAAGCTGTGATCAAGAGTTGGACACCTGACCAACTGAGCCACACAGATGCCCCTATTTTTTGACATTTCTTATTTCCTTTTCAAGACTGCACAGGAGATTCCGTCTCACATAGAGACAACCCTGCATCAACCACTGGGCTTCTCCACCTAAAATAAATTGAGTAACTACAGGTGTCTGCTACCTAAGTGTCAAACGCCTGTAGGAGAGTTTTGAGAGTTTTTGTGAGCATGATTGCTAGGTCAAGAGGGAGAGTGATATATATGGTTTCAGAAGTCATGTTTAAATGTCCTGGGATCCTAAAGCTGGATGACTTGTTACAACAGTACTTTTTAAAATTGTACTTTAACAAAACTCGTCATATTGTTCAAGTACTATGCAAGGAGTATTACATATAATAGCCTTCCTTTGACCATAAGAGACAAAGACCTCAGACAAAAATATATAAATATCATCAGCAGGGAGAAACTACCTCTAAGACTTGAATAAGGCAATCAAGAGAAATGGGGAGTGGGGGCAGGTTTAATGGAAGAACACAGGCTAAAAAGTCCCTACTTGGTCCGATACCACAACCTTTCATAATTGGTCTCCACTAGCAAGTGAGGTAGGGTACAGCAGAATGTTCAATTTAATGAAAGAACATTATGTTTCTCTTAAAGTCATAAAAGAGAAACAGAATTTCTCTAAGAAAAACCAAGGTGACTCCCTCCTGGAGTAACCCCAAAGCAAAACCATTTTTGTTGGTTTTTATTTCTGAGATGCTAATGATAATGCTGATGTTGGCAGTAAAGGCAAGAGCTGAGTGGCTCGAGTAGGAGCCAAATTGGAAAATAAAAGCCTCTTGATTCTAGCACTCCAGAGGGTAGTGAGGAAGTCTGTGGACTTTTAAATAAACTATGGAGGACTGAGGTGAGGAGGAGCAGGGTAGAGACTGCTTTATACCAACTGGAAGCCCATAGAAACAGTAGCATTTGATCCCTGGGTTATATGCTCACAGGAAAAAAAAAAAGAGCTTAATTCAGAGCTGTAAAACTGGAGTTTTGGAAAATGAAACTAAGATACAGACTGATCTTAGTCAACAAGGAATCCCCCAAAAATATTCTAGCTTTTTGACTCTATATTCTAAGGGAGAATATACTGGAAAGTCCATGAAAAACAAGAAAAACTATACAGCTAATTTGTATCTAGTTTTTATTCTGAGATTTATTCACAGTGTTGATAAACAGTGTGTATACCTTAAATATTCGATCATTTCACTTAAATACATATTACTGAGAAGAGGTATATTGTAGACAAAGAGAGAAAAAAAAAACAACTGATTCTAAGGGCACATTCTGGAGAAACTTTGGCTGTTAAGCACAGGCCTATGCAGTAAAACCATCCAAGAGAACTTGTATATTTCTCACACAAATGGACTCTTAAAAAAAGAGGAAAGGGGCGCTGGGGTGGCTCAGTGCGTTAAGTGTCATTCTCTTAACTTCAGCTGGGGTCATTGTGGGCTCGAGCCAGTGCTGCGTGTGGAGCCTGCTTGGGATTCTCTCTCTCCCTCTCCCTCTAACCCTCCCAACCCCTGTTCATGCACATGCTCTCTTTCTCTCAAAAACAAAACAAAACAAAACAAAAACACCAAAAAATAAAAACAAAAGAGGAAAGGCAGTCAGAGACCATTTATTTGGGTTTCTGCTACTCCAATATCATCATCATTTAAATTCATATATTAAATTATATCTTGCAGGGCACCTGGGTGGCTCAGTTGGTTGGGCAACTGCCTTCGGCTCAGGTCATGATCCTGGAGTCCCTGGATCGAGTCCTGCATCGGGCTCCCTGCTCGGCAGGGAGCCTGCTTCTCCCTCTAAATCTCCCCCCTCTCATGTACTCTCTCTCGCTCAAATAAATAAATAAATCTTTAAAAAAATAAATAAATTATATCTTGCATCCTAAAAATTACTTCAAATAGCATTATCATTATGAATATTAGCCAACATATCTCTAGAACAAGGGCTTAAATTTTCTTAAATTAGACTGAAAGCTCCTAGAAAGCAGTAAGAATGTGAAATATCTCTCAAGTACACTGCAGGATCATCAAAATCTAGTCTCACAGAAAGTTAAAAAAAATAAATCTGTCATTCTCTTTTATTTATTCATTTGTTTTTAGGGAGGGGGGAGAAAGAGAGTGGGGGAGGGAGAGAGAGAGAGAGAGACAGGGAGGGGGAGGGGCAGAGGGAGAGGGAGAGAGAGAATCTTAATTCCACTATTGGGTATTTACCCAAAGAAAACAAAAAGCCTAATTTGAAAAGATATATGCATCCCTATGTTTATTGCAGCATTTTTTATAATAGCCAATATATGGAAGCAACCTGTGTCCATCAGTAGATGAATGGATAAGGAAAATGTGCTGTGTATGCAATGGAATATTACACAGCCATAACAAAGAATGAGATTGTGCCATGTGAGACAAAATGGATGGACCCAGACAGTATTATGCTAAATGAAATAAGTCAAGCTGAAAAAGACAAATACCGTATGATTCCACTCATAAGTAGAATCTAAAAAAAAAAAAAAAGAATAAACAAATGAAAAGCAGAATTGGACCTATAAATACAGAGAACAAACTGATGGTTGCTGGGAGTGGGGCAAAATGAGTGAAGGGAAGAGGGAGGCTTCCAGTTATGGAATAAATAAGTCAATAAAAAGCACAGTATAATGAATACAGCCAATGATATTGTAATATTGATGTAACAGGACAGATGGTAGCTACACTTGTGGTGAAAACTTGTTAAATCACTAAGTTGTAACCTGAAACTAATATAACATTGTGTGTCAACTATACTCAAATAAAAGGAAAAGAAAAAAAAGAACCCAATTGAGTCTACAGTTGTGGTAAGCTGTCAGCAGAGTAATTTATATTTTTGGCAATATTGTTTCCTGAATTATTTTTGGTCCTAACAGTTATGAAAGCCTCTGAGATTTCTACCATACTTCAGCAAACTTTAACTGATTTGGGGTAGAGTTACTGATAGTGTGTTAAGATGTACACACTAAATTTTTCTCTATGTTCAACTGAACCTTAAATATCAAACAGTTGTGCCAGGACAATTCAATGGGGAAAGAATAGTCTCGTTAACAAATGGCATTGAGGCAACTGGATATCCATATGCAAGAAAATGAAGCTGGACTCCTGTGGCACACCACATGTAAAAATTGACTCACAATGGGGTCTCAAATATCCAAAGGAATGAACTAAAACTATAAAACTTTTAGAAGAAACTGTAAGCATATATCTTTATGACCTTGAGTTAGGCAAAGTCTTCTTAGATATGACATAAGCAGTAAAAGAAAAAATAGAGGGGCACCTGGGTGGCTCAGTCGATTAAGCAGCTGCCTTCAGCTCAGGTCATGATCCCAGGGTCCTGGGATCGAGCCCCGCATCGGGCTCCCTGCTCAACGGAGAGCCTGCTTCTCCCTCTCCCTCTGACTGTTGCTCTGCCTACTTGCACTCTCTGTCAAATAAATACATTTTAAAAAAATTAAATTAAAGAAAAAATAGATAAATTTGACTTCATCAAAATAAGACAACCCAAAGAATGGGAATAAATATTTGCAAATTATATATAAGGGACTTGTATCTAGAATATATAAAGAATATATAAAGAATTCTTACAACTAAATAATAAAAACAATCTAAATTCTAAATGATATCTTTTAACACCCCAATTTAAAAAAAATCTGAATAGATATTTCTCCAAAGAAGATATATAAATGGATAATGAGCACAAGAAAAACTGCCCAACAACAGAGTATGGAAAGAGGCAGGAGTG